GACTTTATGGTCCTTTCTTAAGTCTGACTATGCTTCGAATAAACCCACCAAATCGTGTCACATAACGCTAACGCTTTAGTAAATTAAAATTTAAAAAGGTTTGACTGCTGAACTTTTAGGAATAATTACATTTCTGAAGATATATTTATTGAAAAAAACATATTTTATTTCCGAGCGGCACTATTTGGAGAAATTTACTGTCAAAGCAGCTGGTGTCAAGCAACGCGAACTCTGTATCAATATGCAAATTTGAGTCAAAACCTTCAAGTCCGATCTCGTTCCCACAGTCCGCGTTGCATTGTCCAGCGGAACGGGCAACACGGACCTCTCGGATAATCGGTTTCAACTCGAGTTTTCATTGGTTGACCATCTGCGCATGAGCAGTAGAACCAGGAGTCAAAAGGTAAATAAAAATGGAGGGAAAAACAGCGTCGAACGGGCTTTCAAGTGTTATTAAAGCGTGGTAAATCAAATATTTTGCCCTTGAACGCCAATCTGAGGTCTAGCAAAGCCTTGAAAGGAAAGGGAGTTTGCTTATTCTGCCTAAGCGCAAGCGACATCGGCTTCAGCAAAAAGGTACGCAAGATAACACTTGAACTCAATCAAATCCGTCTGCGAAAACAAACAGTGACATTCATAGGAGTCCTCGATAAAGACTGTCCGGTCTATGTGATTGTAAGGTTTGTAAATTGAATAAAGCAAGCTGATGCGAAGCATTTTTCGTACACTTTGCTCTGACTACTGGTGAAGAAATGTAAGCGAGATGCCCATTTCAAAGTGGCTAGATATCCCAACGTTTGGCAAAGAATTGAGAAACGTGGACTTGAAATAGAGAAGAGTGAGTTGGTTTGTTATTTTCTTCTTCATTTTGTTAACTTCTTCTTGTAATGGAAATGATTAACCATGGCAAAATTTGGTGTTGTTTAGAAATATTCGCTTTCAGTTATTTAGTTTTTAAAAGAGAAGCATTATTACAAGCATACTGTGGAGTTGATAATTTTTCAAGTTAATTAGTATTTCAGTCCAATGAAAGTTCAGTTATCTTCTGAAGCAATACAAGCTGCAGTGAAACTTTGCAAGAAGTCTGCTTCCCATAAAATATTGAGAACACATGTGGTTCTACAGTTTTGCATCCTTTACGGAGTCACTTTATGGACATTCTGGTGTCTTTTTGTCCTGATAATGTCATATATTATTTTGTTAACTTGAATTTCTAGAAAGTTTCCCTCCACCCCATATCACCTAACCTTCCTTTATTTAGGGGCTGATTACTAGGGTGGACAAAATTGTCAGTAAATTCTCCTGCAACAGAACCTCTATTGACTGGCCACTTGAAGAAAGTTCCCCTGTCCCAGGGTTCAACATAAAAGTTAAAGTAAAGAAATATTATTATTATATAAACATCAATGAAATACCAGGTGAGCTTTCGCGCGAACCTTGATATCTTCACACGTGAAAATAGCATGTTATCTTCACATGTGTAAATATCACCCTTGCTATGGCTACATAATAAATCGGGCCTTTCACACCAAAAAACTATTAAAGTGAAATGGTTTGGTATTTCATTGGTGTTTATTTCAATCGTTCGCTGCGCTCACTCGTGAAATATTTTTCAACATTCGAAGAGAAATTTCGTATCTCCGCGCGGCCATGTAATATCCTCTATGTAGGCAGCAATAGGCCAAATCATAAGAGGGTTGTCCAATAAATGACTAGATTCCAATGTACTCTTCATTTCTTATTCATGGGTGACTTTAAAATATCAATTACGTTGTGTAGCATTCTTGTCTCAGATCATGACTTAAAGTACGAGGTATATTAGGTGTGTAGGATGCTTGTCTAGGGTCGTGGCATAAAGAATGAGGTATTTCACAAGTAGGCTTCCGGTAAGTCAGGTGGACTGACTGACTGTCGCTGTTGACAAAACTGGTGGAGTAGATTTTAAGCATGAGGATGGTACCCCACTTTACCTACATTTTCTTGGTTTTATGTCATTTGTTTGGCGATTTTTGCCAGTCACCAGCTTCTGGAAAATGCTAGCTTTTCCAGTCATAGCGTAGAATGCCTATTGTTCTCGGGACATTTACTTCCAGTTCAACAAAGTTTGTAGATCTGTCATATCATGCGTGGACGCTATGAAAGCGCCTCAACGATTGGTTGCCTTGAACGCACCGGATGCTTATTAATATGATGGTGGCCAACTAAACAAAGGGGGCAGTTCGCTATTGTTATTGCATATTTCGCAGCGACATTTTAAAAACTCGCTTTTGCTTTAATGTTTATTTGGTAAAAAAAGTTAAACCACAGAACGAATGATGAAATGTCGAATTATCTTTGCGCGAGCGAGATCTTGATTGTGTCTTAAACAAATACACTGCATTGAGTGTTTAGCAGACAGAAGGCGACGCTCAATGTAATGGTCTGTAATGTTTTACTTCTGTATTTGAAAGGGTTTTAGCTCTTATACAAACCAAAACGGCGGGTAAGTAAGTTTACATTC